TTAAAGTACAATTCCTGAGAAAAACTACTCAATTACAGTAATTTGAGTATTTGCAATTTGTTACTTAACACCACAAGTACCAAAAATTATATAATTGCGATACCACCTCCACCTTGATTTGAGACAGGAAAAGCCTGGGTCCTGATTTTATCTAAAACAGTGGTTCTCAAACTGTGGTACGTGTACCACAAGTCGTACACGGACTCACTTCTAGTGGTGCGCGGGAGGAATCAATAAGCTATGAAAGAAAAAATTTAGACAATTTTAATTATTTGTTGCGTATGATAACACCAATGTGATCAGCATTGGCGGTTCTCTATGTTTACTTTTGTGCATCGCGTCATCAGCTGCTAAAATCGATCCAATTGGCGCAGAACTAGAGAAAGACGTACGTGGGGCTTGAAGAGCAGATTTGTGCTAAAGTAGTGGTCCCAAACCCTCAGGCCACAGAGCGGCATTGGTCTGTAGATCAATTGGTACCGGGCCAAACAAAAAATCATTAATTATTTCCATTTCATTTGTTATCGGAGTCTGAACGATCATTTATTTTGAAAAATGTTTTATTTAAAAAAAATGACTGTATTCTCTTGTTACATCTCGGTCACTTGAGCTCCAAAATTTAACCCACAGACCAAATGAGTAAGAACTGCCAACGAAAGGATCCGCAACCCACTTGTCAACAAAACAGGTGAATCCAGCATGTGCAAGAAGATTAACTGCTGTGGATCGCAAATGAAGGAAGCTGCTTACATATTGTCTCATTTCCACGCGCAAGCTCGTTAGACACAAAATGCAAGCATATTCCATGCATTGCTATAGCTGAAGACATCTTAACTTTTTAGAATGCCGCAACGCGAGTCACATGACAAGAACTGACTGATCTGCTTCATAATTTGTATGGAATATAATTTTGTTAGACTAATTATCTCAGAAAAAAATCAGAACAGCCAAACACTGCAGTGCTTTTTAAGTTTCTCCATAAGTAAAACTTGTATCAGAGTGCAGCAAAGTTTTATCGTCTTGACATCCTCTAAGAAAAACGGGTTCCCTAGCAATCTACATACAAATTAATATTTAAATTTCAAAAAGTTTTACAAATATTTCATATGCACATGCAACATATTTTTCAAAATTTATCAGAAATTGTATAAATAAGCCTCGTTTTCGAACTGTGCAGTGCTGTAGCTGCTTAATTTGGCCAACTACACTACTTTATTTCAATACTGGTCATTATGGTGGTACATGGAGAGACATTTTTTTTTCTGAGGTGGTACTTGGTGAAAAAAGTTTAAGAACTACTGATCTAAACACTTTCTTTCAATGTGGTTCTGAAGAAAAGAGACTGATGTGTTGGATTGTCTAAGCCTAAAAGAATAAACAGCAACTTTTAATTTTGGCTGATACATCCTTTTAATACTCAAGATGAATTTAAATGTCATAATAAACAGTCATAAAAGTATCAAACAAGTCATATACGACTACATAAATTCATGATACCCTGTGAAAATCTATACCTTTACTCACATTACACCCGGCTTTCAAAAGACCTTCAGGATAAATTTGTAGAAAGGCACAGGTTAGGGGACAGCTACAAAAACCTTTCAAAGGCTGTAAAAGTAATTGGGTTTCAGAGTTTATGACAAATAAAGTAATTTCTTTACCAGCATTAGTCCTGGCGGTGAAATACCAAAGATTGAATTCTGAAGATTTGAACACTTTAAATGAGCTAAAATACAGAAAATAAGTTATTTGCTTCATTAAAAAGAAAATTCTATCATCCTTTACTCACTCTTTACATGTCACAAACCTGTTTGAGTGTATTTCTTCTGTTGAACGCAAATGAAGATATTTTGTAATATGTTGAAAACTGTTTTTGTTCCTATGGAAGTCAATTGTAAATAAAAATAAAAAAAACACTTCTTTTTGTGTTCAACAGAAAACACGTAACTAATAAGGGTTTATAACCAGAATTAAGCTTGAGTAAAAGTGAGTTGATTCAAATGACCAGCAGAAAATATAAGAAAGTACTAAAGGAAAACAAATGAGGCCACATTTCTGAAAATCCCAACTATAGACCCTTTTCACAAGACAGTATCCTCGAATGTTTTAAATATCTAGATTTTAAATATATTTACATTTTTGGAGCTATAATTTATATTATAAAATAATAATAATAATAATAATACTAATAATAATAATTATTATTATTATTATTATTATTATTATTATTATTATTACCACTTATGAAAGGCTAGTGAAGCACCTGTATGGACGGGACAGTAAACTTAATATTGTTTTCTCCCTTCTGGTTGCCATTATCAGTCTCAAAAAAAAAAAACTATTTACAATTTTCACAACAATTTCCAGTACAATAGTTAACCATTGGCTACTTACTGTATAGTAGAAGTGTAGTGTAGCACCACCGGATGTTTGTTCACTGTTTACACACTTGAATGGGTTAAATGCAGAGCCCAAATTTTGAGTATGGGTCATCGTTACACCTTTCACTTACACTTTAGTGTAATATAATTCATACATTATTTATAATTAATTTTGGTGTATTGATTACCATACGTAAAACCACTACAAACTTTACTAAAAATAACATGGTTAAATTATGGTTAGTGTAGCATTATTCATGCTAATTTAAGGTGTTTTTATTTTGCTGTTGTAGTTATTTTTGTAATTCAACCAATATTTATTTGATAAGGGTTCTAATGTGGCATCCATGGATAGGATATTTATATAAGCGTGCTTCAGCCCGGGCGGTTGCAGAAGCAAAAACTCGGCCCTGGGAAGAGTTCGGGGAGACCATGGAGAAAAACAATCGGTCGGCCCCAAAGAGATTCTGGCAAACTCTCCGGCGCCTCAGGAGGGGAAAGCAGCTCCACATTGACGCTGTTTAAAGCAGAAGTGGGGAGCTGTTGACCTCGACTGGGGATGTGGTCGGGCAGTGGAAGGAATACTTTGAGGATCTCCTTAACCCCACTGACATGTCTTTCATTGAGGAAGCAGAGACTGGTGATGCAGGGGTGGACTCACCCATCACCCAAGCTGAGGTCACTCAGCAGCGGGGGCAAATGAGATTCACCCAGTCTTAGGTCTCTGGATGGTGTTGGGCTGTCGTGGTTGACACGTCTTTACAAAATAGAATGGAAATCGGGGACAGTACCTCTGGACTGGGCCACTGGGGTGGTGGTTCCCATTTGTAAGAAGGGGGACCAGAGGGTGTGCTTCTACTATAGAGGGATCACACTCCTCAGCCTCCTGGGAAAAGTCTATGCCAGGGTACTGGAGAGGAGGATCCGACCGATGGTTGAACATAGGATCCAGGAGGAACAATGCAGTTTTCATGCGGGCCGTGGTACACTGGAACAGCTCTATTCCCTCACCAGGGTGCTCGAGGGTTCATGGGAGTACGCCCAACCAGTCCACATGTGTTTTGTGGACTTGAAGAAGGCATTCGATCGTGTGCCTTGTGGCATTCTGTGGAGGGTGCTCGGGGAGTATGGGGTCAGAGGCGATCTGTTGAGGGCCGTCTCGTCCCTGTATGAACAGAGTAGGAGTCTGGTTCGCATCCGGCAATAAGTCAGATTTGTTTCCAGTGCATGTTGGACTCCGGCAGGGCTGCCCTTTGTGATTTATTCTATTCATAATTTTTACGGACAGAATTTCAAGGCGCAGCCTTGGGCTGGAGGGGGTCCGGTTCGGGGACCACAAGATTTCATCTCTGTTATTCGCAGACGATGTTGTTCTTTTAGCTTCATCGAACATAGACCTTCAGCATGCAACTGGGGCGGTTTGCTGCCGAGTGTGACGCGCCTGGGATTAGAATCAGCACCTACAAGTCTGAGGCCATGGTACTCCGGTGGTTTGCCATCTCCAGGTTGGAGAAAAGTCCTTACCCCAGGTGGATTAGTTTAAGTATCTCTGGGTTTTGTTCACAAGTGAGGGAAGGATGGAACATGAGATTGACAGGCGGATTGGTGCAGCGGCAGCAGTAATGAGGTCGATGTACCGATCCGTTGTGGTGAAAAAGGACCTGAGCTGAAAGGCAAAGCTCTCGATTTACCGGTCAATCTACGTTCCTACTCTCACCTATGGTCATGAGCTTTGGGTCATGACCAAAAGGACAAGATCTCGGATTCAAGTGGCCGAAATGAGTTTCCTTCGAAGGCAGGGGACACTCTTATGGATAGGGTGAGAAGCTCTGACACCCGGGAGGAGCTCGGAGTAGAGCCGCTGCTCCTCCACATCGAGAGAAGTCAGCTGAGGTGGCTCGGGGATCTCTTTAGGATGCCTCCTGGATGCCTACCTAGGGAGGTGTTCCAGGCATATCCCACCGGAAGGAGGCCTCGGGGAAGACCCAGGACACGCTGGAGGGACTAAGTCTATCAGCTGGCCTGAGAATGCCTCGTGATCCCCCGGAGAAAAAAAACGAATAAATGAATGAATGAATGAATGACTATATATATATATATATATATATATATATATATATATATATATATGTATATATATTGTGGATCAGCCCACAATTCAGGAAACATTTGAAAAAAAAAATTGCTTATGCACCAACATCCAAGCATACTATAGACCTGAACAGTGCAGTTGCTTACTGTATGTATAAAAAAGAAGATAATGAAGATAGCAGAAGTCAATGATTCATTTTAATTTTTTAGCCTGATATGTTTACTGCTCTAAAATATTTGTAATGTTTCTAAAAATAAAATATATTGAGTTCAATGGGAGAAAACGTAGTTGTTTTTACATAGACATTTTAAAAGAATATATATTAGAGCAGTAATCACAATACCGTGACACTGTGAAACTGTGATATTTTAATTCAAGGTTATTATAACGTCAGAATATCATACCGGCCCATGCCTATTTGTGGTACTCTCTAATCTACTGCACCTTCAAGTTTACCCAACTATGATGAATCTTTTGCATTGCTGAGAAACCCAGAGATGTGAAAAGCTTCCATTAAACCCACTGACCTCCATCAGTCTCAGATCTGCAGTTTTCAACAGGCACAGGCAGAGCATCCAGAGGCACTGCTTCATCCCTCACAGACAGGAGGAGATGTTCAAGCCGCTTAGGGTCCTGCAAACACAAATAAACCACTTATTTTCATGTTGATCAGTCTCATTTCCCAGAAACAATACATCAAGCCAGAGTGAAGAGTCAGTCAGTCAGAAGGGAGATTGTATATCAGCTCACCAGGTTCTGGAGGTCTTCATTGTTTCCAACATAAAGGTTATTGAAGAATATTTGGGGTACAGAAGAGTGGCCGGTGAGCTCCTTCACTCGTGCTCTGATTTCTCTGTGTTTGTTCACATCCACGTCGCACACGGGAACGCCTAACGCACCCAGAGTGGTTTTGGCCCGTGTGCAGTGTGGACAGCCTGGCACAGAGTACACCGTCACCCGGCCCTTCATGAGCGTCCCGTCCTCCACCATCACAGCCCCTGAAAAACCACAGAACACATTAAAAATAATAATTCATCATATTCTGACATTCATATTTTGCATTATGTTTTAGAGCATTAGGTAAAATATTGTATTATTTAGATGCTTTTAAGATGATTTTATAGCATAAATGTAAAATCTTCTTCTTGATATTAACTCTTAAATACAGAAATTTGCCATTGTGGAATGACATTAAATTTATATCACATTTATATATGATTAAAAAGTCATTTTAATATTTATGTTATTTGATTATTTTTAATGTATGACTTTTTAAAAAAATTTTAAGTCATTTTATTTTATTTTAATTTATATAAATATTATATATTTACATAAGCAGCATTAAGATATATTAGCACACAGTATTGTTAGAAAATTCCTGCTTTTTCTGTGCTATTTTAGTATTATTGTGATATTATTCAATTTTTAGGTTTTTAAATATATGTACATTTTTAGAGCCATTACTTCATTTATTATTTATGATTTCATCTTTGCATCAAATTAAATCAAACTTTATGATTTTTTTTATTGAACTTTTAAAGTCATTTTTCTAAATGTATTATTTACATATAAGCAGCATTTAGGGATCACAAATATTTGTGCAAACAGTATTGCTAAAAAAATTCCTACATTTTCAGTGTAATGTTGGTTTTATTACATAGTATTTTCGATTTCTTAATAAATCAGTTTTAATTGTAGTTGTTAAATGTTTTACATTTCAATGATACATTTTTTTATTTCAGAATTTTTTATAAATTAAATAAAAATGTATCCTAAGTTACTTTAGTTTAATCAGTTTTAGTTATTTGACAAGGCATTGTTTTTCATTTAAGTGTTTTCTCTCTTTAATTTTGGCTCTATTTGTGAACAAACAAACAAATAATACATTTTATTTAATAGTAACATCCACGCTAAAGCAACTGCTGTATGATAAAGTCATACAAAATATTTATAATAATAAAAATTTAATAACATTTTACAAAAAAAAAAGTGTGCGTTTCATGCGGCACGGTGGCTCAGTGGTTATCTCAGTGTTTTTTCTGTGTTATTTTATTGGTTAGCAAGAAGGTTGCTGGTTCGAGTCACAGCTGGACCAGTAGATATTTCTGTCTGGAGTTTGCATGTTCTCCCCGTGTTCAGATGGGTTTCTTCTGGGTGCTCCAGTTTCCCCGGAGTCCAATGTCATGCCCTATAGGTGAATTGAATAAACTAAATTGGCCGTATGAATGTGAATGAGTTTGTATCAGGTTTTCCGGTACAAGGTTGCAGCAAGAACTCAATTCAATTCATCCTTATTTTTATAGCGCTCATACAGTGTAGATTGTGTCAAAGCAGCTGCACATAGAAGAATTTAGTCAATCGAAACAGTGTCAGTACAGTTTTCATTGTTAAAGTTCAGTTTAGTTCAGTTCGGTGTGGTTTAATATTCACTGCTGAGAGTTCAAACACTGGAGAGCAAATCTATCGAAAAAAGCCAGTGGCGAAGGGCATCAGCTGTGCAAAACATATGCTGGAATAGTTGGCAGTTCATTCCTCTGTAGCAACCTGAAATATAGACTGAGCAGAAGGAAACTGAATGAATGATGAATGAGGTTATGCTCCTTGTTTGAAGGAAGTGGCAACACTACGTTTTTTCACAAAATTCCCTAAAAAAAGAGAACCATAATTATAGTAGAAGTGTAGTTACCAAGAAAATTGCTGTAGGAATTATTATATTAGCATATTTTTGACATTGAAAATGATTTGTAAAACCCAAGTTTGACAACTAAAACCATAGTTAACTATGGTTAGAGTGGCAAATCTATGGTTATTTTAGGTGTTTATGTTTTTGTTAGCACAACCATGATTGATTTTTATAACGATTAACCTTTATAAATACATGTATTTTTATTATAAAGTATAACATAGTGGCTAATACCAACTATCAGTTTTAACTAGGGTCAGAGCATTTTGATAGAAACTGAACCGTATAACGTTATTCAAGTATCACTAATTTAACAGTAGTTTAATGTAGGAAGTGAAACCGTCCCATAAAATAATGTTAAATAATTCCAGAGGGAAACTAACAAACATAACCATACAGCATATAATACACCAGAACAGAATAATCGAATAATAATGTGTACCTGCTCTCCAGTTGCTTTAATGAGCGTCAGTGCGGCGTTTGTCCACCGTCACATACACTCGACTCTGTGTTTACGCCACAAACCGATCTGCTGAGTGTGCTAATTTTCACTCGTAGTCAGCAGTCGTTAAAACATTGTTGTGCAAAGTCTCGACGCACTATAATTCTGTTTATAATGACCCACAATTATATTCATCTGCTGCTGCTGCATGACTGAAAAATCAGCGAATAGAGAAGCAGCCGACAGGACAGCAGAGGGAGCATCATTACTACAATGTGAAGCCAGAACACAGTCGAACAAGAGTCCAACCAGTCTGACAATAATAATAATAATAATAATAATAATAATAATAATAATAATAATTATTATTATTATTATTATTATTATTATTATTATTATTATTATTATTAAAGTTTTTAAAGAACATAATTTATTTGATTAACATAATATAAAATGTTTACTAATATTGTGAAAATAATTCAGTATATTCATGCATTCATTTTCTTTTTGGCTTAGTCCCTTTATTAATCAGGGGTCCCCACAGTGGAATGAACCGCCCTATTTCAGTTTAAAATAACCAAATTTATTTATTCATTTACTTATTTATTTATTTATTTAAAATAAAGTTATGCGCATTTACTTAATGTCATTTATTATAACGTTATTTATTGCTTCATATATAGTACTATTTATATATAAATATGTTGATTTCAAAGCTGAATTTTCAGCATTACTAAAGTCTTTGGTGTCTCATGAACGTTCTAAAAATCCTTCTAATATACTGTTTAGCTTCTCAATAAATATTTAAGGTTTTTAATAATCTTGGTAATTTTCTTTTTCTTTTTCTACTTTTTTTAATTCATCAAAGGATCCGGGAAAGTTAATGTTTCCAACAATGACAATGATCACAGACATTTTTAATGATTGAATATTATGAATGATTCTTCATTTGAGAGTAACTAATCAACATTTTATTTCTGAAAGATCATGCGTCACCATAAACTTAATTTTTCAGCATTTTGACCAGTAGCGTATTAATATATTGGTTCATTAAAGTATCGACTCAATTCTCGATTTTTAAAAGTGTAAAACAAATGTAACTTAGACCGAATCGCACATTGTAACGAGTAAAGTCTTTTACTTTGAAACAATCTTCTGCCTTTACCGCTCCTCTTTACGTCATCTCGCACCGGCTGAATGAGGAAGTAAAAGCGACGGTCGGTAGCTAAAGACAACGCTGAACCGAGCGATGGCAGATGTGGTGAGACATCCTCCTCTGTTTTAAACCAAACCTTTAATATATGCCTTTATATCTTTCATAAACGCTCTCCCACTTCTGACTGATAAAACCCGTTCTTCCGACGACATTCAGTAAATGTGAGAGTAACGTTATCATTAACTTAAACCTACTGGAATAATAATAATGTAAGTTAATGTTACTCTATTTAGTCACACTAAAATTAAATGTTAAACCGATCATAGTATAACTATATTTTAGCACTGTATTAGTTTTTTCAAAATATCTTTTTGTTTCTCATAAACATTAGTTCTGCTTGTACTGTAACATGCCACGTTTTGACTTCGTCGTTTATCATGTTTGACAGTTCGGTCTTTTTTTAATATATATATATATATATATATATATATATATATATATATATATATATATATATATATATATATATATATATATATATTCTGAAATAAATAATGACAATATGCCATGAATATGCAATTAATCAAATTTAAAGTTTCATTCACTTCTCTTTTTGCAGAGGGCTTTTTTTCTTTCTTTCTTTATTTATTTATTCATTCATTCATTCACTTGTATCTTTGTTTGTTTGTTCTTTCAGAATGTAAAGCCACAGTTGTGACTCTTTGTAATGAAACCTTAAATCCTTCTGATCGCACCACAATGTCCTCTTGCTCAGAGATGGGTCTTGTGACCACATATCCTCCGGTGTCCTGCCTAACATCTTTATGAGATTTATTAAGCAGCTGCAAACACACACAAACCTGAAATGGCACCAGTTCCTCCTGGGATCCGTTTCCTGGCATCCTTCAACCGGGACCAGTGGTGAGTTTGAGTTTATAAACATTTGCATGCGTGTTTGGCATTGATGATCAGCAGGCTCTGATCTAGATCATCAGATTTCCACAGAGCATGTCTGTCATTATAGTTGGGCACACATCCCAGCTATCTTATTTGTTTATTGGTATGAAAGTTGATTGTGGCTTCTTTGGAAGTTGTTTCCACTATTGAGAGAAGAGTTTAGCTTATTTGCAGTTCTGAATGACTTTTGTCTTACAGTAGCATGATTGATTTAGCAGTTTTTGGTAATTTTTCAGTTTTTGTAGTTTTTGGTAATGCAGTTAGAAGAACCTACGAAGAGTGCCGTATATAACGGCATATATAAACTATAACTGTGTATATAAACACAGTTATATACCCTGCTGTTTTTGTTTAATTATTTATTATTATATTTTATTTTATTATTTTATTTTATTATTATAATTTTCTTCGGTAATGTAAGCTCTTTGGTTTTATAAGTTACAGAATTGCATTTTGAAGTGTTTAGGAAGTCAGCTGACCACATTTTTGATATGCAGAATTATGTAATTTAGACATAATTCTGTATTGTAACTTGATGGACTCCCTTGATGCACAATAATAATAATAATATAAACAGTTATATAAGAATTCTTTATCCTCATATTGTGTTTTTGTCCCCCATAATATTTTGTTTAAGTTTTTATAGACTAAATGGTTAAAATACATTATAATAATCTAGAAGCATATAAAATTAATTAAACAAAAATCATGAAATCATAGTTTAACAACAAGAAAATCTAGAACATATAATGTAATATTTAAATAACAATGATTTAACTTCATTCATTCATTTTCAGCCGCGACTTAGTCCCTTATTTATCAGGAGTCGCCACAGCAGAATGAATCACCAACTAATTCCTCATATATTTTGCGCAGTTGATGCTCTTCCAGCTGCAACCCATCACTGGGAAAAAGTTTTACTTTTTACTGTGTAATTATTCATTCAAAATAAAATAATTTTTATGAATAATAATAATAATAATAGTATTAATATAGTAACAATAATAATGAATTATTATTGTTATCACTGTTGTTATTATTACTTTAAGAAACAGTTTACTATACAATAGTATTTTATTTTTGCTTCAAGTTATCGTTATGAGCTGTTATTAAGATTCTTTAATTTCTGTACACAAGTGATTTTATTATAGTTGTTCTCGGAGTGTAAAATGCTGGTAAACTGATGCTGAAGAGACTTTCAAACTCTGTTGTTGGATGATGAAATAACCTTTTAATCCGCTTATATTAGATAGTTGGGTATATAGTGCGTAGGTTATAGTACATCTTTCTTTTTTTTTTCCCCTGACAGCTGTAACAAATGTATTCTATAATGTGTGTGTTTAAACACAACTTGCATATTTCCATTTGCACACCTGCGTCACTCGCTCTGTTTCAGGATGGACTGTGATCAATCCGGTTTGGTTTGTTCACAGCATGCATAGACTAAACTAGGTGTGTTGAAATTCCTATGTACCGTCAAAACCAGACAGACTAGACGTGCAGGGGACTGAAAATATGCTTTTAACTTTACCAAAAAAAAAAAAAAAAGAGCAAATACAGAAATCGGTTGCATTTTGTGTTTCATTATTTGTTCTTAAAAAGGTTTTTTTTACGTGTTTGGAGTGACATAAGAATGCTAATTGTTGGCTTTGGAACATTACATAAGAAAATGCAGACCTGGCTTGCTAACAATGCTGTTAACACACAACACAATACCGTTTTCTCACCTGCTCTCTTAGGCAAAAAAATGTTCTTGAAAAAAAATCTTGTTTTCTTTTCCTCTCCTACCTGTCTTTGCTTTTTAGGGAACCTGATATTTGTTTGGATTTTTGTTTTAATATCATGTCCAGCTCTGTACACTTGACTCTCTAGCTCCTCTCCGCTGAGACTATAGCTGCGTCCCAAATGGCACACTATACACTATGCACTCATGCACTATGTACTTATGCACTTACACACTCAACAGGGTAGTATATGTGTGTAGTGTCGTCCCAAATGGCACACTAATATTTTTTTACTAAGCGGAAATTCAAACCGTTTCCCTGATGACATTTGAATTATCAAATAATACCTGCCGTGAGTGTTGCCGCAATCACTATCGGGAGGCGCTATAATCACTCTCGTAAAAGAATTTTGCTTTCACCATCCAAATTAAATAAAGCTATTCAACATGTGCGTCCGATAGCTCCGCCCCCTTCCGCTACGTAAGCAAACCTGCGGTCGTTGAGTGCGTGAAGTGTCCAACATTACACACTTCATTTTAGCGGCTGAATGAGTGCATCATCCGGGTAATTAAAGTGCACTTATTATTTTTAGAGTTTTCAGTGTGAACACACTACTTACACTGTTTATACTACAAAATGGCGTAGAATAGTGCATAAGTATGCGATTTGGGACGCAGCTTTTTTCTTCTTGCAGCCAACTGACCCTTCGCAAACCCCGCTCACTTGTCCATGTCCAACAAGTTATCAGTTTTAACCATGATGCTCCACTATCAGTTTGTGCACTCCTTAACGAAATGGCAAATCATTTCTGCAAAAAATTTTATAGCTTACTGATTTTAGACAGAAGGAGACATAAAAATGTGCAATATGCATATGAGGAAGGATATATTCAGGATGTGAGCATAACTGGAAATGAAAACGAAATAAAAAAAAAGATTGATGCTACAGCTTACAGTAGTCATGGGAAGTTGGATCATTTGAATATTACAAAATAGGGGTGCACAGTGGTCCCTCGTTAATCATGGAAGTTTATTCATTCATTAATTTTCTTGTCGGCTTAGTCCCTTCATTAATCTGGGGTCGCCACAGCGGAATGAACCACCAACTTATCCAGCAAGTTTTTACGCAGCGGATGCCCTTCCAGCCGCAACCCATCACTGGGAAACATCCACACACAGTCATACACACACACACACACACACACACACACTACGGACAATTTAGCCTACCCAATTCACCTTTACCGCATGTCTTTGGACGGTGGGGGAAACCGGAGCATCCGTAGGAAACCCACCCGAATGCAGGGAGAACATGCAAATTCCATCACGGAAGTAACTTTCTAAAAATAACCT